TCCTGTTGCTGCAGGAACCTTTCACTTTCTAGCTCTTCAAGCCAGCAGCGTATGAGGTGAACGGAACTGGCCTGTCTCTGAGCCCTTTCAGTGTGGGGGAGAGAGAAGAAAGAACTTAGGAGAGGTAAGTACCAAAGCCTCAGAAGGAGCTGACCCATTTTTACAGTATCAGAAGCTTTTGGGAGATACTTTACAACCACTCCTAACACCAGGGCACAGACAGACGGGGGGGGAGGGGGGGGAAAGAAAAGTAGATAACATGTAAATACTTTCTCACTTCCTCTTCTCTCCTCTTCTCCCGGGGATTTAAAGGATTGGTATTTCTCAAACCAAAGATAGTGGAGGACAAGTGTTGTGCTGAGAGAAGCCAGATGTCCCCCACAGGCAAACACACCAATCCCCTCTTTTCCAAAGGGCTCTCTTAGAGTTCATCCTGGGAAGGCCTGCAGTGACCTTGGCATTGGCTGGACCAGAAGCAGTGTTTTTGGCGGATGTCAGCCATCCTGCCTATGAGAGGACAGTCAAAGCCATATACATTTGAGTGCCCAACCCCGTGAGCCCTTCCAGAATGTCTCTTTTTGCCTATTCTTCCTCTTCCCTCCTGGCCTTTCCCCACATCAAAATCACTCCTTCCTCATTTCCCTCTTTCTTGGAAACAGATCAAAAGCAACTCGAGCATCCCCTGTCCCCATCAAAAAACTGTATCTATCCATAAGTGCCCTACAGACATGGAAGCACCTGGAAGAGATCTGACCCCCTAGGGGATAGGCCTGGGAGGCCCCAGGCTCTCTTCTCTGGGGTCTTACCTGTGTCTGTGGCTGCTCCTTTTACCCCTCGTGTGTGGCTGCAGCTTTTGTGGGCGCTTCTGGGTAACAGTTGTCCATTTTCCCCTTTTTAAGCCTGTGAGAAACTTTTGGATGCAACCTAGTTTTGGTGACAAAAGGAAATGGTTTCTGTTGGTGAGGCAAACTCATCAGGGAGGAGGGGCAGCGATGTCTGCAGACACTGGCCCAGGGCTCAGTCAGCACTGGGCTCTTTTGCCAGGGGACAGCGGCTGGCTAGATCTCTGGCTGAAAGGAGTGCTCTCTGGGTGCCAGGATTTCACTGGGGGTGTGGGTGGGGAGGGAGGGAAGGAGGGAGGGAAAGACACACACACACACACACACACACACACACACACACACACACACACACACACGGCACTTGATTTTTTTTTAAAGAGACCCCGAAAAATAATGGCTTTTGTAAGAGTCCAGGCATTCAAAGAGGTGTGTTCAAGGACATGAGTGCATTTATGCCACGGGGAATGTCTTTTATGGTAAATTAACTCCGGTTAAATTGAATATCTGTTCAAAGGGAAACTCTAGTAGTTAAAGCTGGTATTATCAGTAGAGCTTCCCTGCCCGCTCCACCCCCACAACCCCTCCCGCCCCGCACGTCGGTGAGAAAGGGATGCAGTGTAATGTGCTCCTGGACAATACAAAGTGATGCTTGGGGGATTAAAAAAAAAAAAAAAAAACATTTAAAACGAGATTGCCTAAAATTTCCGAGAGATAAATGAGTATTTATTTGGATTAACCCCCGCGGTCACCTCGTCCCTTTGATCTGCAAAGACTGTCAACTTTACCCTGACTGAAGAAGAAGAAGAAGAAGAAGAAGAAGAAGAAGAAGAAGAAGAAGAAGAAGAAGAAGAAGAAAAGGCCCACACAAAGGAAATGAACGTCGTTTAGAAAGCTGACTTGGAGGATTTGCCTCGGGGAGGGAGCAGGAGGGCTGTGCCCTAAGGGGTTAACTCGGGGTTCTCGAAATTTCCCCGACTTTACCTGCCTTCCCAGATCCGCCGCCCCCTCTCCCCGGCCTTCCCCCCCTCTGCCCCCCCTCCCCCCGCCAGCCCTTTCTTCTCTGGCTCCGGGTTTACGGGGGCTGCAGCTGGTAGACTTGGCAGGCTCGCCTCATTAGGAGCGCCCTTTGAAAACGGACTGTGTTTGAGCATTTCCCTAATGAGGACAGGACGGGGTTAAAAAGTGACCATTTCATGGTTGACTTGAACCTGCCTACTTTTTCTTGATGTGTCCTGGTGAAATGCTTGATGTGGATAACTCCCACTTGGGGAACGAAAAGTCACTGGTTCCTGCAGGTCCGCGCAGGGGAGAGGAGGGGGTGGATTGGGGGTGGGGACGGAGAGGACTGCGGGCAGAAGCGGGTGAGACCGGGCGAGGAGAAAGTTGAGGGGAAAAAAAACACAAAAACAACAATCCAGAGGGAGGGAGAAGAGGGTAAGAGAAACAGGGGATCCGGGGAGAGAGCCTAAAAGCACCCCAAAGGCACAGTTGGAAGTAGGGGGTCTCTCTCTCCTGGGGCTGGGGCAGGGGAGCCCCATTCGGCGGCAGCCCCGAGCGAGGTAGCCGCGGAGTTCTCCGCGCTCACTTTTCCTCTCCATTGTCTGGACACACGGCCTTGGCTTCCACCTCTCCCCCACCCACCCCTTTTTGCGGAAATTTGGGGGGAATTTGGAGGGCGGTGTGCGTGCGTCTGCGAACGCGCCAGAGTGTGTGTGTGTGTGTGTGTGTGTGTGTGTGTGTGTGTGTGTGCGTGCTGCGGGGAGAAAGGGTGCAAAAGCAAAAACCTCCGCCCTCCAAAGACCCAAAATCAAGTTCATTCACTCGGGGGCCGCCGCCGCCACCACCGGCCCGGTGGGGGCGGGGCCCGGGCGCCGGAGCCGGGCGGGCGCGGCCGCCTCTGCCGGGGCAACAGCGGCTCCCGAAGCCCGCGCCGCCCGCCCCGCAGCGCCCGCCCCGCAGCCCGAGCGCGCCCGGCCCCGCCCAGCCCGCGCCCGGCGGGAGGGAGCCGCTTTCCGCCGGCGCCCCGGGCCCTGGAGGGGGGATTGGGAGGGAGCCAGCGGAGCTGCAGGAGGAAGAGAGCCTTGCGGCCGCGGGATGGAGAGGAGGGGGCGGAGAAGGGGGAGGTGGAGGGAGCAGGCATTGGCGGCGGCTCGGTCCGGTCCTCCCTCTCCGAGCTGGGCCACGTGCGCGGGGGCGCCCGGGGAGGGCGCAGCTTCTCCCCAGCAGCCCTGGGGCTCGGGCCCCCGAGGGGAGACCCCGGCGGACCCCGCCTCTTTGCGCGCCGGCGGCGCCCCAACTACTTAGCCTAAGTTCGCTCATCCCCGCCTCCCCCTCCTCCCCCTCCTCCTCCCTCCGCGGGCGGGGGAGCCGGACCGCGCCCGCCCGCCCGCCGGGGTGTGAGAGCCGGCGCCCCAGCCCGAGCCCCCGGGCGGCGGGGTGTGAGGGAATTTTCCATTCGTTCCCTTCCCCTTCCCGGGCCCAGGCTGGCGCAGGGCTTCTCCCGCTCCACGTCCCCGCCGCTTAAAGAGTCCGCAACCAGCACCGCAATCTCTCCTCCAGGGAGGCGGTCGTGTGTGTGTGTGTGTGTGTGTGTGTGTGTGTGTGTGTGTGGTTGTGGGGAGGGTGCGGGACTTACCAAAAGGGCGGAAAGATCTATTTTGGAAAAACAACAACACAATAAAAAACACAAACACAACCCCCCCCCCCCACAACTATGCTTTTTGTTGCACTGCTATGAAACCTTTAACAAATGAGAGAGAGAGAGAGAGAGAGAGAGAGAGAGAGAGAGAGAGAGAGAGAGAGGAGAAAATAGAATAGAGAGAAAAGAGAAGGGAGGGAGGGACGGAGGGAGGAGGAGGAAAGTGGGGGGCGGGGGTGCGGAGAGGCTGGTGCAGAAGGAATGTGCGCTTGCAGGAGGAGGAGGAGGAGGAGTAAAGCGATGATTGTGTAATTAAATAATAAAACAATCCTTAAGTCTGATTTGGAGAGAGCTGGCGAGCGGGGTCCAGAGGGTGGAACCGGTGAATTTTTCAACTTCCAAGTTTTGCAAGGAGAGAAAGCGAGAGAGAGGGGAGCAGAAGGAGGGGGCGGGGGGAGAGATAGAACCCAGCGCAGAAGAGAGAGGAGTTTGGAGCCGCGAGCTGAGCGGGAGAGCGGGATTTATCGTTGGGGATTTTTTCGGGAGCTCGCTCCGATCCCCTTGGGCTCCGGGCGGCGGCGGCGGCGGCGGCAGCCTCCTCCCGCGGCGGGTCAGGCGCGGGGCGCGGTGGGCGGCCGGGCGGCGCAATCGGCGGCGGCTGCAGCCGGGGACCGTGCTCAGGAGCCTCTTCCTCCACCCGGGAGACCTGTGCTCGCGTCCCCTCCCTCACCCCGGCCTCTCCCTTCTCCCCCCCCCTCCACCCCCCACCCACCCCGCCCCCACCGGCCTCTCCCGCGCGGCCCCGCCACCCGCGCGCACTCGCCGCGCTCCCTCTCCGCACACACATGGTCGGCGGCTCGCGGCGGCGGCAAAGTTTCGCCCGCGATCACCGCCACCCGGGAACCCTGCGGCGGCAGCGCTCCTCCGGGCTGTAACCTTGAACTTTCCCAGCGCGGTGACACATTCTCTTCGCTCGCTCTTGCTCCCGCCCTCTTTCCTGCGCCCCCCACCCCGCCTTTTTTTAAAAAAAGCACTTCACCACCAACCACTTCCCCAATCGGACCCGCACCGCCGATCCTCCGCGCACCTCCCAGCTCCCAACAACAACAACAACAACAACAACAACAACAATAACTGCAACTGCAACACAGAAAGCAAATCCCCAAACCCGGGCGGAAAGCGACCCACACCGGCGGCGGCGGCGGAGGCGGCGGCGGCTCCGGGGAGAGCAGGGCCGGCGGGCGCGCTCGGACTGCGAGGTCTCCAAGTGCAGATTGGATTTCACGCCGGGAAATCCAGCGCGCCGCCGAGTGAACTTGAATCTTGTGGCTGTTGAAGGAGGACCTGGGTTGGTCGTGAAGTTGCGGCGATCCAGTGGATTTGATCCAGCTGATTTGATCGCGCACCGAGGGGCTCCGAGGACTGGAACATGAATAGATGAAATTCTGGCTTCTCGAAGATTTTTCTTGGGCATCTCCTGGAAAGCGCGTGTGTTTGTTTTATTTTTTTAAGGCGAAGTCATGATGTATTCTCCCATCTGTCTCACTCAGGTACGCGTCTTTGATCGCTCTTTTGGGGGTTCTCTCTAGCTCGAAATTGCCTTTTGTTTTGGTTGTGGGGCTCTCCTCTGCAGACAGTTCGAGGCTTTTTAAGTTATGTATTTATTTATTTATTTTTAAATAGTGAACCTTCGCCACCCCCATCCCTCGAAAAAGTGGCCAGGAGTTGCGATGGGATAGGACCCGGCGGCGTGGGAGCCGGCGCGGCCTCTCTCCAGCCCGCGGCTCCGCACGCTCAGCCCGGCGCTGCGGGCACGGGGAGCAGCGGGTGCCCGCGGGCTGCCAGGGCGAGGCCGCCGCCGGGGTGGGCAGGGCCCGGGCCCACGGGAGAGAGAGCCAGTCCCCGCGCGGGCCCCCGGGTGCGGGCTGCGGAGTGGAGCCTCTGCTCGAGGTGCCCGCCGCCCCTCCGGTTCTGGCTCTTGCGCACGGAGGCAGGCTTGGCTTCAGAGGGGCATTTGGGGGGAGTCAGTCCTGACCAACTACTCTTGAACTTGGATGAGGGGACTCTAGCGGGGAGTCCTCGTGGGCACCTTGGGACGTGGCTGCAGGCTGTGGCCCGGCGACCGACGAAAGCCAGGCGGAGGAGGTTGTGGTGATGGTGGGGGAGATCCATTCCTTTGCTTAATTTGGGGATCTCACACTCTGGTCCCTTCTTGATCTGCACTTTGCGGTTCACAGGGACCACACCACAGAGGTAGTCTTTACCTGAACACCAGTTAGCTGGTAGTGGTGAAGAGGAAGGGCTTAGAGAACACGTTCTTTTTTTGTGTGTGTGTGGAGACCTGTTCATTTGACGATCTTCATTTGGCGTAGCTCCTAAGGCAGAATGTAATGCTGGAAAAAGTAAAGTCATTAAAAAAAAATCCCAAGGCTTTAGGAACAATGATATGGAATAAAACCCTGGCTTTATACTTTTGGAAAGGACAGGGTTTGCATAATTTTAAAGCAGACGGTCAATTGGGGAAAAGTGACCAGACTGAGCCTACTTACCTGGGAGGTGGTATTTCATCGCTGCCCCAACAAACTAACCAACTGAGGAACTAACTAAATATCTTAGCCCAGAGTTGTTATTTGAGGCAGTATTTTAACCCTCTGGAGGTGTGGGACAGTTTACTTTAGCCTTTAGGAGGATGTAGCATGATGGGTCATTGATAAGCATTTTCTTTGACATTGGCATAAAGACTAAACAGTTAAACAAGTGTCACCTCCTGTTAGGTGTGTTGCAATTTAAAAATATTCCAATATCATGATGGTGCATTTTTATAAGGGACAAATGATTAAGATTTCAATTGTATGACAATTAGAAGCCATTGTGATTCAAAAGAACTGAGGCATTCATAAATTGTGAATGAAGATGAAAACAATGATAAGGCTTATTCAGTGATTGGATACAGTCCTGTAGCTTTTTGGCTGACACATTTTTTATTGTTTATATTTTGTTTGGCATCTGACTATGATTAACTTAGATATGGCTATTTCAGCAAGTAAACGTGCACTTTAATTTAACAAAACTGAAAAAAATGAGTTGCTGAGCTATTTGTCCTTTAAAAGCTAAGAATAATGACCAGTAAATACGATGATTGAACTGTTTCAGGTAAAACGAATTTCCTTTAGTTGTAAAAGTGGCGTTTCATATCACCCATCATCGGGACATTTTTTCTCTTTCTGGTAAACTATGTCCATTTGATATTATTTTTACATTATTGAAGCATTATTCAAATGCAACAAATTGAGATAAACTTTACATTTGTAAAGTACTGACTCACTTATTCTCACCTGTACAGGATTGCTTTTCTATTTTAATTTATGTTTCCAGCATTGGCTTTTTAGAAACATTGCTAGTGATTCACATACACTGCATTTTTTTTTGTTTCCTCTAAACATGTATCGAAAACTCACTAATTTGTGCAAGTTAAAAATAAAATTGCAGCTTCTAGACATATGGACTGTTCGAAGCATATACTGCATCATCATTCAGCTATCACATTAGTAGTCAAGAAAACATACTTACCAACACTAATTCATGGTGACTAATATTACCTGTTTAATAATGTTAATCTATGTTGATGTATTAAAACTATTTTGGGATTTAAAGTCTATGCAAGAGAAGGAATTTTAGCTTTAGAATTCTCTCTTAGCTAATACTTCCTATGTGACTTTATAGGTAATGGAAGGTGTTGCAAAAGTGAGGGCACCTTAATTATGTTGATTTAACATCAGATCAATAATTTGGTTTTGTATTGGAAGAGTCTTGCAACTGTAGCAAAAACACTTCTTTTGGATTTTAAAATATAAAATAGAGAAATATTCTTAATTGGTTGAAAACTTTATAAAGTTTCAATTGTTGAAATGTCGAGATTTTTAGAAAGATTTTTCATTCAAAAAGAGCTACAGTTAAAGTTGATATGTGGCAGAATGTTATGCGAAAGTATCAGTGAATCAATATAAATCAGTATTTATAAATCAGTATTTATACATCACTGTGAATCAGATATAAAAGGACAATTAGAAACCATTATATATAAGTTAGTATTTGCTTTTTCTAAAATTACTGTAAAATCCTTAATAGTATAACTTTCACTGGCATGTTTGAATTGATTTTTTTTTCATTGTCTTTCAAGTTCTTTAGTTACATTTTTAAATGGTTTATTGTTAAATAGCAATACTCCAAGAACATCTAGTATTTATTCATTACCAACTATATTGGTCTAATGTTCCATTCTTCCTGTGGAAACCATTGTGGCTGTGAGGAAAAATCAATGTTTTTAGTGGAATTAGGACTGTTTGCTTTTATATTTCAAACTTGTAACTTGTTATTTATTTTATCAATGTAGTTAAACTAAAAGAAGTTTTAAAAGAGTATTACTGAATCTCAGTTGTAGTTTAATAAAAATTCTGAAAGAGCAAGGTGATAATATAGAGCCGTTAGGTCTTAGATCACTTTGATGCCTTGCTTTAAAAAATAATTTTCATAATTGTTTGAAGTGTTATTGTGATAATCTATTAATTAGGATATTTGAATACCTTAATCACTTTTTTTTATGAAGACAGTTGCTGTGCTTCATATTTATGCCACCCAAAATTATGAAAAGTATATTGCAACTTAGTATTATAAAACAACCATATTTAGAAGATGACATTTTAGGCACATTAATACAGAAATATAATGTGACATAGCAAACCTCTACTTAGCATCATTTTTTGAAGACATATTTTATAAGTAAGTGCTTCACTTGAATGGAATCCTCATAATATATTAGGGCAACTTTGTGGACTGCAAAAGTTTGCTACTTTTATTTAACAATAGTAAAAAAAAATGTTTTAAAACATGACTTAACAGCCTTGGTGACAAACTCAAGGCAACTTCATAAAACATTGTTTTTGTGTGCACTTACTGAGACATTCCAAATTCAACCTTCAACTTGCAGTGTGATTGTTTAAAACAATTTATTAAAATTTTGAGATGCGTTCCATGCTAGATGATTTGAAATGCAAACAAATATAATCGAAAATACGTTTGATGTCTTCATAAGAAAAAGGAAATGTCACTGAACATAGTCCTTAAGGATGCAGGTACTTAAGAGTTCCCGTATTGCTTACTATCTGTTAAAATAAGCCTGCATTTTCAAAAGCCTGGCAAGGGTAAAAGGAGTGACACAAAGCTGCCCTCCATGTACTCTTTGCATTCTCAAGTTTTTCCTTTATGAGTGTACAGATGTACGTTGCTTCGTCATATCAATAAATCATAGTTTAAAAGTTAGGTTCTGTATAGGAAGTGAATTCCCAGAGCATGTTTGAGTCCATGTTTCCTTGAGCAAGAGTTTCCTTCTGCATGTGTTCCGAAGGGGGATAAACAAACTTTTTGTAGCTGCAGTGAAAGCCGAAAGCATGGCATCAGAAAGGGTAGGGAGATAGGGAGGTCTTATCATGGGCCGTGGTGGCTGCGAGCAGGGCTGCCTTCCCACACAAAGAACAGATTGTGGTTTAACTCTTTCCATGGCCTAGTTTAATGTGCTCGCATAGTGACTGAATTGTTCAAATCTCTGCTGGAAACTACTGATCGGTTTAATGATTTCCTCCATGGCATTTGGTTATGCCTCGTGCTGTGATATAATCATCTGTATTCTGCGGTGTTATAACATTTTGATTTATATGTATCCTGTCGTAGGAGCGTTTTTATGGCAATATGTTAAAACACTTGATGACCGCATTCTTGATTGGATGGGACACGCACCTCTTCCTTTTCGGAACCGCAGACGGCTAACACGCCGCAGTCTTTAGCACTGAAACTTTGCGTCTCATCATTAAAAAAAAAAAAAAAAAAAAAAAAATGGATTCCTAACTACATGGGGTTTGGGGGACACCTTCTTTGTTAGGGTGCCATTAGTTGTACTTTTTATCTTCTTGACCTAATGGAATTCATCATTCTGCTGGTGAAACAGAATTTATTCCACAGAGTCCGGGGTGACTGTCCCTAGTGCATACATCCTAACTGGGGAGATGACCAGTTAGAGAAAGTTATTTCCTGACCGGCTGGAGTGACAATATAGTTAACGTGACCAGAACAGTGGCCGAGGTGGGAGTTCTTACTTGCTTCACATCTTAACCTATTGCACGCGTGCAGTTTGCATGCACACGAGGTTCAGGGCTTTTTCCGAGCTCACGAGACAGGTTTTACCGTCAGCAGGAAATAAGGAAACAGGGATTGCTTTGGAAAGCAACCTGAAATATTTGTAGGTAGAGATTATCTGCCACGCCTTGTGCCTCCCTTCCTTGAAAAAGGCTTAGATGGAAACAGGCAGGAAAAAGAAACAAAAAAAAACACCACTTAATGCAGAGGATAGGCTACTTACAAGCTCTGTACTCGCACAGACTCACAAGCACATGCTAGGGGCACCCACAGTCCTGCCCGAGAACCCATGAGCGTAGCCAATGAATCATATTGATTCCACAAAAGCAGCGAGTGACCAGCCGTGCAATCCCGGTGTCACCCTGCCACGACATGCAGAGACACAAAGAATGTAAAGTTGGTGCCAAGTTGCCATTTTTCATTGTTCACCTCGGACTGATTTTTTTTTTTTTTAAAGGCGCTTAGAATAATTGCTGTAACTCATGTGATCAGTTAACAAATTAACTGAGGCCGCGGGGCTTCAGATTCTATAGAGAAAGCTGCCGGGAGAACATGCGTGCCCTTTGCGTTCTCAACTTTACAAACTTTTCTTTTAAAAAAAAATGCAAGAGGGTGTCTGCGTGTCTGTGAGAGAGCAGGGGAGCGTGTGTGTGTGTGTGTGCCTGTGTGCGTGTGTGTGTGTGTGTGTGGGGGGGGGGGCTCCTGGTGGTGGAGGGCATGAATGCATTTTGCTCAAAGTATGGAAACCTCTGTTAGGGACACGGATGCCCGGGCTGGCGTCCTTTGCCCACTTTCCCTCACTGTATACCGGTTTCTCTAGTTACTGCTCTTGGAATGGTGCTGTTTCAGTGTTGGAATGTTGGACGTTTGATAAGAAAATGGATCAAGTTTAATGGCGCATGCTCTTTGTGCCACCAGCAGCCTCTTGCTGAGAGCATGCTCCAAACGCGGGAACTGTGTGGCATTGCACTGAGCATCTATATGCTTTGTGTTTCTGTGCCACAGAGGGGAGAAATGAACTGTGGCACGGCTCCTGCCTTCTGAACAGCTCTGCTCCGATTTTTAAAAAAAGAAAAAACACCTCACTGTGTTCTTTGTAAAATGGTACTGCGTCATGTGTTAGTTGGTCAAGCCAATATTTAAATATTGAATTGTGTGCCAAGCACCTTGGTTGCTTACGTTTGAAAGAATGCAGGATGCCTGGTGGGAACGAGGGGGATGGGGCCAGAGTGGAAATATAAACGTAAACCTTATTTTATTTTTTTGGGAGGGAGCATCCACCTGTGCATTTTGGTGGAAAAGGGGGCAGCTTGGCATGGCTTGATTTTCTAATTGTTCTACTGTTTTGGTTATTTTCAATAAGGAAAGAATATTATTATTATTATTATTATTATTATTATTTTAAATGCATAACTTTTTGTGCTGAGTGGGGAACGCATCGTGGTCTTATTTTATTTCACTTTGTTATTTGATTTTATGTGAGCCTTTTAAAGCTAACCTGACCGTGTCTGTTTTCTTTTTTTTCCTTGTCGCCTCCTGCAGGATGAATTTCACCCGTTCATCGAGGCCCTCCTTCCACACGTCCGTGCAATCGCCTATACGTGGTTCAACCTGCAGGCTCGGAAACGCAAGTACTTTAAAAAGCACGAGAAGCGGATGTCCAAGGACGAAGAGAGAGCCGTCAAAGATGAGCTCCTCAGCGAAAAGCCCGAGATCAAGCAGAAGTGGGCATCCAGGCTCCTGGCCAAACTGCGCAAAGATATCCGCCAGGAGTACCGGGAGGACTTTGTGCTCACCGTGACTGGCAAGAAGCACCCGTGCTGTGTCTTATCCAACCCCGACCAGAAGGGTAAGATTAGGAGGATCGACTGCCTGCGGCAGGCAGACAAAGTCTGGCGTCTGGATCTAGTCATGGTGATCCTGTTCAAAGGCATCCCTTTGGAAAGTACCGATGGAGAGCGGCTCATGAAATCCCCTCATTGCACAAACCCAGCACTTTGTGTCCAGCCACATCATATCACAGTGTCAGTTAAGGAGCTTGATTTGTTTTTGGCATACTACGTGCAGGAACAAGGTAGGAGCAGATTATTCTTTTCTTCTCGCACCGCACACATGCAAACATTGCCCACGCGTCCCGGGTCCGGGATGTCTGGGCTCGGGGTTAACGGTCCTGGAGGCCCCTTAGGTCTCCCTCCTCGCTCCCTCTGGGTGCTCTGGGTGGAGTGGCATGCATGCTCAGGTGTCCGCTGCCGTGTGCAAGCCCTTGGAAATAGACACGGCGCGTTCCTACCTGGGTAGGCGTGGGTATTTAAAGAGAGACCACAAAGAGATTCGTTTGCAAATGTCTTTGAAAGCATCTATCTTTTTCAAAGACACAGAATAGTGTGAAAAAAAAAATGGTTTATGACAACTTAACCGTTTTGGTGTCAGGCTACCTTCCTTGCACCATCTTTTCTCCATGTGAAAAAATGTAACGTTATTTATGAATAGTCGAACCGCGCTTTAATAATCTTAGTACTAGCCTCATAACGAATGAGGGAGGTGAACCTCGTTCATGATTCTAGTGCTATTGCACTGAAAATAGAATTAACGCTTCCTACTACGAAATGCTCAGATAGCCAATGCCAGAGAGTATGTTTTACGCAGACCTAGACTTACTTAATTTAAGTGTTTCTATTAATACCTGCTTTTGATTGTATGATGTTCTCGGTGGACTAAGTAGACGGTTGTTGCTTAAATAATTTGTTATCGTATTTTTCCAGGGTGACTTTGGAACACTTCAAACTGTTAGTTTACTTAAATGTAAATTCATAAAACTTGCAGAGGAGAAAAGTTGCAGCTCTTCTGCTAGAACAAAAAAAGGAAGTGGACCAGTTACACTGGTTTAAAATAAATCTAAAAAAGAATGCAGAAATCACATACCATACCTATTTTTTTTTTAAAAAAATACTTGATAAAGAGAGCGATATAAATATTGCCTCAATAATTCAAAAATGGGTGATATTTTTGCTGAGTGTTTTTTGAGTCGATGAAATATGTTTCCTTACTATTTTTATTTTTCTTCACGTATTTTCCTTAAGTAGGTGAGACTTTCTTTTCTTCAAATCATTGTGTCAGGATATAGATGTCCTGGTAATAGCAACAGTCCATAGTAAAACATAATTTTGAAAAACAGCATACCAAAAGTGGACTGAAGTTTGATCTGCTACACATGGTGAATTATTTCCTAACTTGGCCTGGCGGTAGGGAAAATAGATCGTCAGGTGGCAGACAGTTATCTGATGTTTGTCAAATAAATGTGGGATTTAATATAGTGGTATGAACTTCATTATCATCCAGAAGATAAACCATCAGAATTACTCTTTGACTCAAATCTAAGTAACTTACCGTGTGCTTTTTGTCTTTATCTTTCCTTGATACAATTTTAGAGATACACTTAAATGTCATTTAACTTTTTTTTTTTTTTTTTTAGTTTGTTTTTAAATAATGGACATCACATATTGGGAAATAATGCTTTTTTTTTTTTAAAGGAAACATTACATTTATTATTTCTATGTATTTAGGAATTAAAGTCCAAGTAATGATGGTTTGGGGAAAATATGTATTTTCACCCTATGTGTCTTAAAATTAAAGGTCATTAGCAGATGACACTTCATTTGATTGGCAGCCGTCTAGGAGGTGACATTGTAAGGTGGGTTGTGTATATGTGCTGGATTAACTGTACATACATTGTAACTGTGTTGTGAAAGTCAAGGCTAGAAGTCAAGTTTTTAAAAAGTGGGTCATGAAACTTTTTAGTGCAGTGCGGGGAAGATTTGCAAGCATTTGACTGCTGCTCACATTTTAACTTGCTTGAAGGCTAGTCCGTGAGGTGTGTACGTATGTACATCCACTCCTGGGGCAGGCAGCCAAATCTCTGGGTTGATGAACTGACAATAAAGAACATATCCCTTAGATTTGTGAAGATAGATTGAGGAAAGAAAGAAACACGCATAAAATGTTTTCTGCATTGCAGCATCAGTCACGAGAATCATAAAGTTTGAAGCAACTCTTGGACATCCGCATTGCAGTGTCCAACACATTTTCAGACCCAGCATTGATTTTGCTCCATCATAAAAACCTTCCATTATTTTAGCCTGTGCATCTAATTTGTATCCTCTCCTACCTGCCAGTACATCATCTCTTCTTAACATCTGTGGGCTTTTTCTTTGAAAAAAAAAAATCACATCAGGATGCTTTTGTGTTTTCCCTTTATCAAAACTTTTTTTTTTTTTTTTTTTTTTTTGCAAATATAGGTTAATGATGTCGTTTTGCAGTTGATTAATGAAGGAATCTTAAAAGATAAGTCTGTAGTCAGTGAGGACTGCCCGTTTCCCACAGTGACCTTTTATTTCTCCTCTAAGTACAAGAAAACCCACTTACGTCTGTTTTATAAATCAGGTAAAGAAGTACAAAGAAAAACATGAAAGAAAAACCAGAAAAGAAAAATGTGATGTTTGCCATAGAAAGAGCAACAAAAATTACCTTCTCTCTCTCTTCCCCCCCTTTTTTTTCTTTCCTGCCTCACTTCCAAACGACTGGGAGGAAAACATGAGAGGGAACAGGGAGAATGCCAAAGATGGTTGCCACTGGCACCAGGATTGGCATCAGCCCCTCTTTGTTTAGCTCAGGATGCCTGTGATTTGTTAGTTGGCATCCGCATTGCAGTGCGGAGTGATGTTACAATATATTGACAATTTCCAGATCTAGAGATGTCAATAGTCCTCTTGGTTATTTATATAAGATCATAAACTGCATCTCTTCTGCAGGAGGAAATAAAGACCGACATTTAATAAAGTTCCCTTTGTGGACCAACTTCCTATGCTTTTCCTTTTCCCTCTTTCTCTTTTGGTTCAACCCACACACACACTTTTTTTTTTTTCATGCCCAGAAGCCTCATCTTTTTTTTTTTTTTTTTTTAAATGTGGAAAGAGTTACTATAGCTTTGACATAAGCTATAGTGCTACATCTGCATCTGATATGGTTTTGGGGGAAATTTATGCATCTCAAAATCATTTCTGATATATAGTTCATTAGACTTTTGCATCACATGGCCGCAAGGCAGTATTTCCTTTAAAGCTCAACCTCTTTGTTATTCAGCTTCTCCTGTGCCTATAGCCCGGTTGGCCGCAATTTAGTCCATTTTCCCTATTTCTCTACATTAGCAAAGGGTCGTCTATAACATTCTGTAACCCCTCCCGCTTTACTAAAATGTACACACCATTTGGGAGCCACTGCATTTAAATCCATAAAAATCCCTGGACGTTATTGATGCAGAGGGCTGCGCCTCGGCTGTTTCGTTGCTACAAGAACCGCCATTTTGTTTGTGGAGTGCCAGGCGAGGGGGAAAAAAAAGGCAGACAGTGTGCTTGATGCCAATAATGGTTGCCAGTGGCACCGAGGTTGGCATCAGACCCTCTTTGTCTGGTTGCTGAATGCCTTTGATTCGTTGGTTGGCATCCGCATTGCAGTGGGCACACTGGAAAGTTTCTGACAATCCCTGAATGAAAGCTGCTTGCTTGTTTGCTGCTGCAAACCTTAGCTAATGTAAAACCCTTTCTTTCTTTTTTATTTTTAGGTTGGGTTTTTTTTTTTTTTTTTTTTAATCTCTTAAAATTAGGACAGATTAAAGGCAAAAAAAAGAAAAAAAAAAGGAGGAAAAAAAAAGAAAAAAGAAAGCTCTAAAGGGCCTCCATTTTCCCAAAGATGTTAAAGATGTCCAATGATTCCTGGGCAGGTGGTACCTCTTCCCCATATTGCCTTTGTTATGGCGTGTGTGAAAGCAAAGCAAAGTAAAACAACACACGAGAAGCACGCTGGCTTCGCACCGCACATCTTCCAGGGACACACGTGTGCTCCCTATAGGATGCGGGCTGTGCCAGGAGGAGGGTGTGGAGGACCAGCCAAAGGGAGCGATGTGCAGTGTGCTCCTCAGTCACATCACGACGTACCGTACCCTCCATTCCCACACTCCCCAGACCTATGCCAACGTGTGGAGAGGACCTCACTTTTCTTTCCAGTGTAAACGATTAGAAAAATACACACCTTAAAAACACAGGTTTTTAAGGTACAAAGCCGGCATCCCGGAATGTTTCAGTGCTGCAACCAGAACGTGGCCCAGATTCTCAGTGCACAGTTCTGCACGCCAGGAACACCAACCAAAAGGCTGAAATAATTTTGGTGGAAGTTTCCTAGATAGTTAGCATTCATATTGCTTTCTAGTCAACCGCCATTCTCAGGTTAATTAATCAGAAGGATTAGCAGGTCTACCCAAAGCTCCGCACAGAAGGAAGCCTGGCCTAGGGGAGGCCTTGGGCTGCCAGGCTGTGCCCTGCCTGGCGGGGAGAGAGAGCTGGGTGGGGTGAGGACCTGGGGACTGGGCTTTCTCAGAGGCAGCGCCGGGTTCCGAGGAAAGAGAGAGGTCACAACACACGGAGACCTTTAGAGATCTCCAGAGATAGTCCCTGTTGTCATGAGTTTAACCAGATTAGAGTTTGAAGGAAGTCAGCCTAACTGGTTTTTGGACTGTACTTTGCCCTCGTATGAAACATGTTTTGGAGGCTAACGAGAGTCCAGGAACCTCCTGGCTCCCAACAGAGAGGTGTTTGCTGTAGCCTCGTGGCCCCCTGAACACTGGGATCCGCTGTTGGATGACAGCAACTGTTGTCTGATTGCTAAGTGTTCACTAAAGTGCGTTCGGAAGTTTTGTGGAGAACCACGACTTGTTTACAGAGGAGATTGTAATCCTGCTTGTGTTTGAAACGGAACCCTTCCTGGTTGTCACATGCCATCAGCAAGGAAGTAAACGCCGGGAATTGTGTTCCTCCTTCAGCCCCTGACTTTCAGAATCCTTTGGGGGTGACAATTATTTCTTTATGAAAAGCCTGAGGAGATAATTGTTTGCGAGTTGACAGCCTGCTTGAACATTTTAATAAATTTCCCTTCGTTTGCAGGTATTTCCCCGTGATGGGGAAACACAAAGCTTTTGGCAATGTGTGAACACGAGGCTGCTGGCTAGGGTGATCTGGGGTGTGC